ATCATCTTTAACCTCTGAATTTCCTCATGACAAAAGGTGAAGAGAGAGTGTGGCAGATACACATACAGTCCCTCTCCCACAGAGACAGCGAGCAACCCAGGCACACTGTCCAGCCCCCAATCGTCCCCCATCACAATCTGCCACCAGAACCTCCACAGCAGTCTGCTTGTGCTCAGAGCCAAGGACTCAGGTCCTTGGAGATTTTGAGATTAATTTGGATTTGGCAAATGTCAGAGGGGATTTTGTGGTTAAATAATGCCAGGTTATAGGACTTATAGAATAAATGGAACCACATCTCTAAATATAAACTGCACCTTTGCTGCTTGCTTGTTGGCAGTTTTGAACTATGAAAATGCCTTTGTGGTTCGTTAAAATGAATGGCTACTTCATACTCTCTTCAAAGTCCTTAACTTGGATTTATTAAAGTGGTTGTACAAATGATGGTGTGGTTATTACTAAACACATCAAAATGATCATAATCCACTCTTAGTTAAACAGTCTGCGGTTTAACAGTGGTAAAAAGAAAAAATAACAGACAAAGCACCGACATTAAGAATTAGCAAAAAAAATTTACATATTACCAAACATGTCTAGAAGCACATATCTAATTCAACTGTCACTTGCCCTCTGAAATCTGCCACCTAGCTTAAGCAGTTTTACTTTCAGTTTTTTACTATTTTGGATAATGTCCACAGGGTGGATGTATTCCTGATAATTCTGATTAATGACTTTACCCTAACTTCACTGTGTGCGGTGTTTTGGACTAATTTGTTTCATCTGTTATTTCAGGATTCCCTAGAGCGTCCCAGGCCTGCCCAGGCCGAGCGTGATGAGTACAGAGTTATAGCCAAGCCCTACATTTTAGGCAAGAGGCAACTCACCAAACTTAATCCTATACATAATACGTGAAAAGTGGGACAACGCGGGACAGGGATTTTAGAACAAATGAGCTTTGGTTGATTTCAGATTATTTCATTGAATCTGGAAAGAATGACAGAGGACAAAGAGTAAATAAGTGTTAATAGTTTACATTTCCATTATTATACAATGGATACATAATTTTAAAAATCTAGTTAAAATTTTAAAATGAATTATAACCAAATGTCTTTTTCCTCCTTTTCTACTGTTTTAAATATGTATTTCTAAACTTTCACATAGTGATGAGATGTAAAAATATATATTTTGATTCAATCTGGAAAGAAAAGATGACTTCAAAAACACAACTGAAAGCTCTTGGAATGAATATGAGAAATCCCTAGCTATATGGCAAGGCTCCTGCCTATTATTAACACAAAAGAGAGAAGTTTAGAGCTTCAGGTAGGACTGCTGGGCTTCTGTTATCAATGGGAAGCTGCTGATGGGTCTTATTAAGTCATACTGTTTCTTCCCACTTTCCTTAACAAATCAGCCTCATATGTGAAAAGGACTAGTGTTTCAAAATTGCAAAATGTGCGGCTACCACTAAGAGTTGTAGTGAATGAGAAAATAGTACTATTTCCATATGCCAGAAATTCCCAACGTGGGTCCTGTGGAACACAAGCTCCTTGGAATGTTACTAGGTGTTACTCAAAAAAGTTTCTCTGGCCAAATTAATCTGGAAAACACTGAGCTAACTGAAATTACATTTGTGGTGTGTTTCTTCCCGTCTCCACCGCCCACCCATAGGGCATTTAAATTAAAACCTTCTGTGTGCTTATATGCACTAACTTTTTAAGATAGTATCTTTCCCAAACTCATTTGACCATGGAACCCTATATTTGGAAGATCATCTTTGGAACTGTGTTCTATGGAACACACTCTGGGGGAACATTGGATTCTTTTACTCCTGCAGTGTTCAACTAAGTAGTTCAAAAGTCCAGATACCAATGATTTAACCTAGAGGCAATTAAATAGGCCCCAGTGTGGTTCTAACAGTCATGTCATTTCTGCAGAGCTGGTTCAGGAATGCTGGTGTGACCGGCTAAGGCAATTTTAGGAGAATATTAAGGGCAGATCAGTCTAATGATGATGGGTCAAAGGAGAAAAAATCATTTCTGAAATCATGGAAGAATAAAGCTTCATCCAGAGTGTGTATTCACATACTTTCAAATGTACAGTGAAATGGTGCCCTTTCTAAACCTTCTTCATTGACATGGTTGTAAGAATATTAGATCTGGCAATAATTCAGGGGGAAAAAAATCCAGAAAATCAAGATATACTTGGCAAAGGAAAAGGTGATCACTCCCTTGCGTATCCCTCATGTATTGCCGGATATCCAAATGATCCAATTCAATAATGTCATTAGTTTCCCAGAATTACTTCAGATAGGATTGAAACAATGCCATCATCCTCACGCAATCCCGTTTGCACAGAATGTATGTGGGCTGAAATCATTACAGTTGCATGAAATAAGCCCTGTTTTAAGTTACCCAGATTGCATATGCTCCTTCACTCTAGAAAACACTCTCTGTAATACCCTTTTTACATAGACAAGATTCAAGAGGCCAATACCTTCTATCTAAGGCAAGGCATAGAACATAGCCGCTGGTTACCAGTAATGTGTACATATGCGCACAGTCATGTTGTATTAGAATAGTGACTTCAGAGCTCAGTGCCTTGGGCAAGTTGGTTACATAAAATGAATGCAGGTCTTGGGAACTAGCTTTGGAGTTTTTAATGTATTACTTATTCCTTTAATTAGAGAATTGCAAATACAGTGAATTTTCAAAAAAATTTTCCCTATCTTGTCCTATCCCCTCCCCCCATTCCCAACCCATGTTAAGAGTACAAATTGCTGGTGGGGCAACAGCGGAGCGGTGCATTCATGAGGGTCTGCACTTGGCATCTTGCTGGGGGCTCGTAAGCATGTGGTCATTCATTCCCAACTTCATTTCTAAAAGAAATGAAAAACCATCCCAAAATTTGGCACTATGGGGCTATTGGCAATGCGAACTCGGGCTGGGGAGTCTGGGCAGCCTCATGTGATAATTCCAAAGCTTTGGCAGTGCTGTTTAGGGAGGCTTCACATGCAAACTTCTCAAAACAATTTCCCTAAAGGCTAGATTCAACTTTTCCCTTGTTGTCCCTAGAAAATGAGCCACAGGGCACCCCTGGGGTGAAGTCTGCAGACCCCTAACAGCTGGATGAGGGGCAGAGGGAGAGCTCCAGGATGGGGGGAAAGAAGCAAAGTGCTCTGATTTTAGACATAACTCTTAATCAAACTGCTACTATTTTGCCTAAAACATCTGTCTTTAAAAAATCTACAAGCCAAAGTGGGAGGGAAAGAGGCAGAAGAAAGGGAGTAGGAAATACACACACTACATGGTTAAATTCAGAAATGAATTAATTCTACAAAGCAAACTGTAGAAGACACCCGGTAACCTCAGCTGGAGGGGAAGGCCAGCATGCCTGCCCTCGGCACCACCCAGGAAGACCCTGTGCAGGGTAAACAAACACTAATATCCTGTAGCTTTGCTTTTTCATCTTCACCAAAACATGTCTATTTTCATCTTACTAATAATGATCATGGAATTAAAAGATCTCTTTCCCTTGTCAATATAAATTTTAGGGTTAAGTTAAAAATAAAAAAAGGAAATTGGACTGGGTAGCATAAAATGCTGAAATTGCTTATTCCTGACCTTCAGTTAGATGGTGGGCTTTGGTAACTCGCCAGAGTCAGAATGTCCTAGATCTCCAAGCAAGGCCACCTGGCTTCCCCATCCCATCACTGAGCACAACCAGCCTGTCTCCCATCTTCCTCTCCCCTGACCCTGTCCCCAAATACACACATCCAATTGTTCATTGTCTCTCAATAGGCAAATATTTCAATCTAAAATGGTGACAGATATTTTGTACTAGAACATTCTGTAGCTAAAAAAAAATAACCAGGGTTCTAATTCTAATGCTGGAAATTCTAATGTTACAGTTTACAAAAGTGAGCAAATCGCTTGGGAAACCATTATTAATTCTCATTGCAGTCAAAAGATGGTAAGTGCTTGGAGGAATCCAGTCAGGCTGCAGCCCTTGGCAGCCACAAGGGAAACTTCATCCTCCCAAGTTCTCCCCTGGAACCTGCTTTGGGAAAGCTCCACAGTTGAAGAAAGGCAGGGGAGGGAGGGGCACTGTGGGCTGGAGGTGGCCAGTAAATTGGACCTTTGAGAAGCTCTAAAGACTTGTTTCCACTTGACAAGGACAAAACCAGGTGGACACCTCGGCATTTCAGACACAGAAGGGTAGGGACACAACAAAATCTTGTCTGGTTGTTTGAGCCACCTCAGTCAGGCAAATGGGCCGACCCAGCACTCGGTCAATTAATTTATAAAACACTGAGGTTGGAAACATGACTCTGGTGACAGGGCACGAAGAGTGGCAAGACTGGCCCCGAAATAACTCTGAGCCACTTAACAATACAGGTTTGGGCTTGAATTCCCAGCCAGCGAGCATGGTTGCCACGGCACACAGGGCAGGGGGGCGCGGGCTGTGCTTGCCTGGGGAAAGCTACCTGGTGTGGACGGTGATCTGCATCCAAATGTTACGGGCAGCTGCCTTTCCACTGTCAAGGGGAAGCACGTGCGAGCATTTTATCACCAAATGCCCAGCTGCGCTGGGAACTCTGTCCTCGGCTTCAAGGAACACACACGCAGTTCAAGGCTGTGCCGATCAGAACACTGCTTGAAAGACACCTGAAAGCTACTGGGACCGGAGAGAGAGAAGGAAAAAAACCCGCATAAAAATGGCCACCGGAGCTCAGTTCAGGGTGGTGACCTCCCCAGCTTTCTCTCCTAATGCAAACAGCAGATTTCCCAGGCGGCACTGTGACTTATTTGGCCGCTATTTCCCTCTATCTACCCTTAAAGAGTGCAGAAATTATGGTATTGTGATTTGCTTTGTTCATTTCCCCTAATAGGTTTCTTGGTAAGACAAAAAATCGTGGCGTCTGGTGGTGGTTTCACAGCTGCCTATTACATAAGGTAAGGTAGAAGCAAAAGGTTAAGGTCATGCACGATTAGGATAAACGCATGAAGACAGGTCAGGTGGCACACAGAGTCTATTTAAGTAAGAAAGGAAGCCAGGGGAAAAGGTTATGTCTGCTGTGCAGGCGGCTCTCATCCTCCCACTTCCCCCCGTCTCCAAAAGCGGCCACGGAATAATAAACCATTTCACATCTGTGTCTGGGCTGCTGCTGAGCAGAAAAGCTGGGCTCAGGAGGACAAATCCCTCTCAGGATAGCTCTGCCTCTCAGCAGCGGGCATCGGCCTGTCCACCCAGACTCACAGGGGCCGCGGTAGCCCGTCCCCTGCAGCTCTGGAGGCCTGCTCTGTGCACCACTCCAAAGACAGGACAGAGTCTGATGCCTGGAGAATCCTGAAAGAGGTCTTGAAAAGAATCCCAAAGGGGAGAATATATGGCACATGTGCCGTTCATGTCATACTTGTGAATCTACAACTACATATTTATATATTTTGAACATCGGAGGAAAGAATTGGGAACACATGAAGAAACCATTTTTCAGCCTCTCAGCTACGTGGGCCAAGAGCACCCTCTGTTCATTACCGCATATAGACCTATGCCCACCAGGGCGGGGAATCCCACGTCTAGGTGGCTGATCCTAACTGTAACTCCCACACTTTCACTACATTAGAAGAGACCAGTGTGTTGAGAGTCCTTTAGGCAAGGGAAGCCGAGACTCGGAAGGGTTCACTGCTCTTCCGTTTTGCTGCTATTCCTGAACTTCACCACCATGACCGTTATATTGTCAGGGCAGCCTCTGTAAAATGACTGTAAAACTATGCTCTTAGCCCCAAAGTGAGGTTCATCCAAGCGCTCCTTGATGAATCGAACAGCTTCTTCATTGCTGAAAGCATCCCAGAGGCCATCTGATGCCAAGATCATGAACTCGGGCTGGAGCTTGTCCAGGTCAAAGGTCAGGATATCTGGGTCTGGGATGACCACATTGAGATTTTTCAGTGGATAATCCCCCAGGGACCGAGACATGGCCAGGATTCCCTGGACCCTCCAGGAGCCATTGAAACTGATAAAACCACCTGCAAAGACAGAATGAGCTCATTAGCTTGAGCAGCTGGTATCTCACACACACAGGAGAGTCTGGGTGCACGTACACAAGGCTCATCTCCTGCGTATGCCCCCCTCACCTCCCCTGGGCACTGCCAGGAAGGAGTAGCCTTCCCGCCGCATGGCTTGAGGTTTCACACTTTATCAGGAGATCCTCATCTTAAAGGCTCTGAGGAATAGATCAGTAAAAACAGTGAGGGTAGGCAGATACATATAGGTGAGGGCATTGGTTTTAACTTAACAACACCTTTAGGGCTCCTTGATCGACAGTAGGTAGCCCTAGGGTAGGGATTCCAGGACAATGGCCAAAGAGCGCTGAGAGGACGGAACCGGAGACACCACTGGGCTACTGCATTTAGCTTTAGGCTGCCCCTGGGTGCATCTAGATCTCAAAACAGCTCCCCAAATAGAATCGGGATTAAAGAAGGGTGTATTTTAGCACAGTGGAGAAAGGTTCAGGCTCTTTGGTCGGACTGCGTAGATTTGATTGTTGGCTCTGTCACTTCAGATGAGAAGCTCTAGCTTTCTGATTCTAGGTTGTCCTGGCTACAAAATGGGGACAATAATAGTACCTATTCCACTGAGTTGTGAGAAATAAAGGAGTTACTCCGTATAAATCACTTAGCATAGTGCCTGTGTATCACGTGTACTCCATGCACTCAATATTACCTATTACTATTTTTTCTTTAAGGGAGCTAGGGCTTTGTTCATTCACATATTATTTGTCAGATATCTATCAAATGTATACTCCATGCAAGGCATTTTGCAGGCTATAAAGTTATACAAGATCCAGACCTTTCTCTAAAGAAGCAGATAGTCTAGCAGAAAGGAAAAGCTACGTGTATTAACAACTGTAAGCACAAAGCAGTATTCTTTTGAGAAGAAACTAGTACCTGCTAAATGCTGTAGTCAGATGGAGGAGGAGCAATGATACCTGGTTGCGATGCTCAGGGAGAGTGAGCAATAAAGCGAGGCTTTGAACGATGGGTAGGACTTCTATGGGCAGGGATGTATGAGAACGTTCCAGGAAGTGTGGTCTAGTAAGCAAGAGCATGGGCTCCAGAGTCAGTGTCCTGGGTCTCGATTCTCGTCCCACTATTCACTAGCTGTGTGTCCTTGGGCACACATGCCTCTTTGAGGGTCTACTTCCTCGGTTGTAAAATGAGGATAACATTATCAACCTCATAAGGTAAGTAAAGAGAAAGCATATGTAAAAAACTAGGCTTGGCTCCCAGCACAGAGTGAGCAAACAATAAATGGCAGCTGATGTTGCTGTTGTTGGAAACAACAAAAGGAGTTAAGACAGAAGGACCAACTCGTATTTGGCCCAGACTGGTCGTAGTGTATTGTTATGCTAAGTAGGACAGGGAAAGGCGTCCTGAAAGGAAGGCTGAGGTCAGAGAAAATACACACCAAGGTAATAAAACCAATCACTGTCCCTTAAGCCTTGCTATAAAATACACCCTTGACACAGGTTAAATTAACCTCCTTGGAGACAGTGTCCAAACCGGCCTCTATAAAGCATCCCTGGAGGATGGGGGTGCAGGTGGGGGGTATGGGAAGGACGAGGAGGGAGGATACAATGGGAATGCCATTGCAGAAGGGCACGCAGGATGCTAAGATGACGTTTCCAGGTGTCGTACACACATCCTTGCGTGTGCTTCCACAAGAGTAGGTTAACTGAATCTTAAGTCCAGGGGGTCACAGCAGACTCAGAGGGAAATGGTGTCTTTGTAAGTAAGGAAGCCGGAGTATTTGCTCATACTGCTTGCAGCTCATCAGAGCTTGATGGATACTCCTAAAACATCGTTTGTTCCGTCTCACCAACAAAAAGCCTGACTAAAGCTCTCATTAAAAATTATTCTGCATCTCAAGCAGTTACTGAAGCAGGAGGTTGTAATACATTTCAACAGTTTTTGACTCAAAAGTACAGTTTCTTACTGTGAAAACTCAAATGTTGATTAGGTTCCGGGCAGAGGCTGACCTGTAGAGAGAGAGAGTCAACTGCAATTACCCCAGGCAGCAGGGGCCCATTCTGGTTAGAGGCCCAGGGTACATGAGCTCCCCTTGGACAGCTGGGCCTGCCACCTGGCATATCATGAACAGCCAACATGCTGCAGTTGTCAGTCTGGAGAGGGAGGGAGTCCTCCTTTCCATGGGCAGAAAAGAATCCCGCAAAGTGAATCATGGAAGTGTAATCATCAACTGATAATCTTCCTTCAAGTCTTTGTCCTAATATCACCTTAGTGAGGCCTGTAGTGACCACCCCCGATACTCCCCATTCCTTTGCCTGCTTTATGTCTCTTCATAAAAGTTATCATTTAAAATATACCAGATAATTTACTTATTTATTGTTAATATTCCCCATCCCATCCCAATTCCAGAATGTAAGTTTGTATCCCCAGTCTCTAGATGTTGAAAAAAATATGAAAAGAGACATTCCCCCGCCGCCACCCAACCCCAGAATATTTACTTGTGCCAGGCACTGAGCTAGATGCTGGGAGTACAGAAAGAACAAGACCAAATTTCTGCCCTCAAAGAGCTCACAATCAGGAAGGCAGAACAGATAAGAGAGCCAAGTATGTCCATATTGTGAAGGGTAACCCAATAGGTTACCCACACAGGATGTGGGGAAAATGAAGGGGCACCTAACCTAGACTGGGGGAGCCTTTGGTGCGGTGACAGGGAAGGCTTACCAAAAGGATACCTTTAAACTGGGTCTTAAAGGACAAGTAATCGTTATCCACTGGCTGGTGGGGCTGGCGCTTGCCAAGGCACAGAGCTGGCAGAAACATGGCTCACTTGGGGAACGGTTAGTCTGGTGTGGCTGGAGGGAAGCAGGGTAAGGCAAGCCGGAGCCCAAAGATCTCATTAGCCTTTAAACTAGGAAAGGGCTTTTTTGGGGGCTCTTTTGGAATCTTTGGCCATGAGGAAGGGCAAGTTTGGTGGCCATTTATTCGAAAAGAAATGTCACAAAGTCAAGTGTCAGCTACCTCAGCAGCAGCCTCTGTGCTGATCTACTGGTCACGGGGTAACTGAACGTCTCATCCCCCACAGGCAATGCAAGCAAGCCACCCTGTTCACCGGACAGGACGGCAGGCAGCACTTGGAGGTGCTCACAAGCTCACCAGCTCTCTTTATTCTCTTTCTCTCCTTCAGTTGGTAAGGCTTGTGATCATGAGACAGAGGAATGGCGTTCCCGTCCTTGTCACACAGGACCCCTCTCGAGTCACCCACATTGGCCACCGTGAGGTCCTTATCTGACAGTAGAGCAATCAGACACGTTGTACCTGGGAAACGGAGAGAGGCATTGTAAGAGGTCAGCGGTGCACTGAGATTCAGCTATTTCTTCTTGTTACTGGATTCTTCAGCCATTAAAACTGCTCCTGCTGGGTGAGAATTTAACTCCAGACACTCCTGAGAATGATGGCTGCACTGATCAAATCTGACAGGCAGTTTTCTTAACCATGTTAGAATGTTACTGAAATAGGCTAGGATAACATTATCATTTTCCCAAATCATTTTTGTTTCTGCTCCTCTTAATTTAAACACATATCACATTTAAAAGGATTAGGAGAGAATCAAAATCAGTTTGAAGCTTCTGGCAGTTGATATATTTGTTTTTGCTTCTCATTGGTGCCTCATTTCTGTGGAGCCCCAGTTGAAAGTGGGGAGGGGGTCTTGTGAGCTCCTCAGCTGGAGGGTCTGGAAGAGGCAGTAAATGACAGATGCCAACAGCCTGATCCTATGGCGCCGTGAAGGAGCTGCCCATACAAACTTGCCTATACAAAGTCTGATGCAAAGACGGGCAGCCAGAAACAGGTCAGCTCCAGGGTGTAATGGGGGCAGACTATAAAGGCAGAAGCAGAAAAACCTGAAGACAGAAATGAGATCTAGGTAGATGGAAGGTGGGGGTTGGGGTGGTCAGAGTCAGAAGGGGAGCCAGACTGACGACCTGCTTGCCTGGAACCTATAAAAGACACAAAAGGACAAGCTCTTCTCAAACCCCTCTTGAAATGAGAGTGGATAAAAGCAAATAGAGATGGACAGTGTGGTCCCCCTGGAGCCTGGCCTTATTTCCTGCCTGGTGTCCTCTGTCTGACTCTTTCCTCTCTCCTCCCTCCCTCCTGACAGTGTCACTGAGTATGCAAATGCCTGCTGAAATGTACGACCCATTAAGCTGTTGCTTGAAACTGTTAACGCCTTTGCTTGTGAAAATTATCCATCAGTGTCTTCATTAATATTTCCCTCCTCATTTAGAAGGCCTATTCTATAACAGAATGTAAACTGCACCTAAACAGCTCTTTAGCCTTCACAGAACAATAAACAAGACTGAATTCTTAAGTGGACACAAAGAATAAATACAGGTCAATATCAGGAGCAGGGAGAATAATTAGAATATTTAGCATATTCAGGTATTATATTTCAGTTTAAAATTCCATTCTTAAGCCTATTTAACTCAAAACTGCCTTGGTCGGCAATGGAAATACATGAAATACTGGTCAGCTCAGGATTTCTGATATGAAAAGCTTTGTGAAAGAAAAAAAAAGTCTAATCTTAGGGATTCCAAGCAAATTGCAAATCTTTTACCTGTAAAAAACACTGTAAAAATGAAAATGTAAACACAAAAACCATTCATACCATTAGAAATTGTTAATTCTCAGTTTTTGCTCTTAGTTGCCTTTTGTTCTTCAACCATTCTCACTTTTGTCCTCAAGCATCTGATTGGGTTAACTTGTCTAACACAATCAGAGACTATAAGGCACATTCGTAAAGTCTGAAGGTGAAATAGAAACTTTACTGGAATATTGCATGGCTTGGGGGCAGTGCATTCATAACCCTAACTCTTTCCTTCTCACTCTGCACACTCTGAGAGACCATGTTCCTGACCCTGGCCTCCACTACCATCTAAGCCTGTGCCGCTAGCCTGGTTGACACTCCTGAGGTCCGTATCAATTGGCATGGAGGTGTTTCGATTTGCCTGTACCGCCAGGGACCCAGGGAAGGGCTCTGCGGCCTTCCTTTGAGAAGAACAGAGGGATCCACCCGGCTCTGGGCCCTTTCCCCACCCCATTTCAGCACAGCAGGTCTACATCCATCTGTTAGCTGTACTGAGCTTCCACGTAAGTCTTTTTTTTAATAAAAGAGGGAAGGGAGAGGTCATTCCTACAGCTAGAAAAAAAACTGAAATGTAATCACATATGTGATTAAGAATCACTGAAGGGTTTTAAGCAGGATAGTGTCATGATGAGATATGTGTTCTAAAAGATCGTTTCAGTGGCAATATGGAAGATAAAGTGGAACCAGAGAGAAAGATAGAGATAATGAAGATCTGAATTAATGTAGTAAACATAGAGATAGAGGGTAGGAGACAGATTATTTAAAGCCTGAATGGAGAGGTCATAGAGAGTGAAGGAAATAAAGGAGAGGGGAACAAGTCTAGGGTAATGTCCTACCTTCTAGACGGTGGGCGGTGGGAGACCTGGGTGCTCCATGGACAAGGGCTTAAGGGGATGTCTGCTTGGGGCTTCTGGGAAAGGCTCTCTCTCTCACTAAAGGAGACACAATGAAGAAAATGACCCACTTCTTTGGTCCAGTGTTGGCTCACCTGTTTTCCAGAACTGTAGCAGCCATCTTGAAATATGAGGCAATATGCCTCCGGGTCAAGGCACTCTGCTGCAGGTAGAGCAGAGAGGTAAAGAGCCTGAGTCCCTAAGATATCAAAGAATGGCTGAACCAGCCTCAAAAGGACTTGCTCCATGAGACATTAAATATCTTTACTGTTCATGGCTTTTGAAGTTGGATTTTTCTGCTCCTTGTAGCATCCTAACTGGTTCAGGGGCTTATAGTCCAATAAGGGGGTCTTTGGGTGGATTTAGAGTGTCTGCTTTGCTTTACTCACATGTTGTTGCATATACCTAAAATTCCTGGCCTGCCAATTCCTTTGTCAAGGACACAATTCCATTGTTTCCATGGGTAAAAACGATCTATCTCATGACGTGTATTTCAGAAATTTATTGCTTTGAGACAGCGGGGACTGCCTTTGTTAGCAATAGAATCTTAGACCTGGCCAAAACGGGTGAGCCCCAGATGGTGGATTAGAGCTGCAGGCAGTTTTTAGGATCACTGAAATGTCACCTTTCCCTCTCTATAGAAACCTGCCTGTATCCTGAGTGGCGGCCCAAGCATAATCTTCAAAAACTGCTTCACTGTAGGCAATTTATCGTTTGGGCCTTGCAGCTGTAGTTTGGGGTTGCAAGAGATAGTCTATAATGTAATCTTACTTTATAGAACAAACTACCTTGTTGCTGAAAGACTCCAGAAAAACATCGTGTCCAAGAGAAAATGGACAAAATCACCTTTTCTTTTGCTTGCATGAGAAAAAAAACACCCTCCAAATTTTGGCCACAAGTTTTGATATAAAAGATTTATTCCATAATAGTACTATTTATCACATGCCAGAGTCTGACAATATTACTTAAGACCTCAGGATGTGTCTATATTAACAATTTAATCTAGAAGAGAATGTAATCTCAAATCTGGAAGATATCTTGGAAACCTATATAACCTATTAACCTCACTTCACAGATTAAAAAAACGAAAAAAGCAAATTTCACACAGACTAGACTTCAGTGTCCTAATCGAGTGAGGTCTGGCAAGTTATTTAACTTTCCAGCAGCAGAAAATGGCACCACAATCCAGTTACTCAAGCCAGGAGTCATCCTTGTTTTTCTTGTTTCTTTCCTTTTCCTCATTCCTGACATTCAGTCCTGCATTAAGTTCTGCCACTCTTACCTTTAAGGTACATCTTAAACCCCTCCAGCTCTCTTGTTCTCATTGCGTTGACTCTAGCCCAAGCCACTGTCCTTTCTAAGCGCTGCCATTTCAGCGTCAGGTGAAAACAATGGTGGCCAGGTGCTGCGTGGTCTGGCCCCCACCCAAACTGTCCAATGTCATATCATGCTACTCTTTCCCTTGCTCTCTCCCCCTTCTGCTCCCAAACATGCCAGTCCGTTTGTTGTCTTCTGTTCCCTCTGCCTAGTATATTTCCCTGTCTTTGACACTGGCTGATTAATGCATATGGGATGTCTTAGTACAAGTGTGACATCATCACACAGGTCTTCTCTGACGGGGTAGATCTTATCTCCTCTTTACCTTCCTCACTGCCCTCACAACGCACAGTTGTGTATATATCTTGTATATTTATTTAAACAATTTAATTAATGCCAATCTTCCCCTGTACCATATAAACTTCACAAACGTAAAGACATTGCTTGTTTTCCCTACTACAATGCTGATGCTTAGAACATGGCAGATTCTCAGTATCTGCTGAATAAACAAAGTAACAGATGAATGAATAAATAATCACACACTGTCTCTTTGATCCCGATCTGACATAATGCTAAGCTCCTTCTGACTTGCTCTGAACATGTCCACTTAGGTCAATAATACAATGCACACCATCTTCCAGATATTGCCACAGCAGGGAGAGACGCTCAACTGTAGCAAAATACATTTTACACATTGATCAAAACATGAGGACCGTCCTGTACAAGTATAACCCCGCTCACAGGCACACTGCCCGTAACTAGAGAGAGCCTCCTGCCCAGGCCTGTCCCAAGTTCTTCCATCCAGTCAGTCGAGGCTTCTGGTCCAATGCAAATGAAACATGGGTAGGGCTTCTATCCTCACCATACCCTCCAAAGCCGTGGCACCTTGTGAAGTGATAAAAGTGCCTCACGGTTGTCATTACATGCACATTCTGTGTCTGCTTCTGACCTCAGTTTGTACTTGAGCAAATCAGGCACAGTTTCACGTTGTCCTGTTAATTCTTGTTTTCTTTAGGGAAAACACACAAATGCAAATTAGTCATTAGTCTATTCCTCTAAACCAGCATTCTCTCCTCTGATTTAATTTCTGGGAGGCAAAGTAAAGGCACACAAGAAAATCTCTTCTAGACTTATCTAAATATTCTGGTTGGATGATATTAGGCACTTCATTCACTTGGTGAGCTGCACTTGAGAAAAATGTAAATCCTTTTTTTTTCTTTTAAGTAGACTCCACATCCAGCATGGATCTCATGACCCTGAGATTAAGACCTGAGCTGAGATCAAGAGCTGGACGCTTAACCGACTGAGCCACCGGGGCGCCCTGAGAAAAATGTAAATCCTAATGGAGGTTAAGTAACTTGGGTTAGTTCACGCATCTTTGGAAACCCTAGTTATCATATTTTTAAAACTTAGTTTAATTAATAGCAAAGTGGTAATAACAATTTGCTCAGCACTATAAA